TCAAAAAACCGGACATACATGCAAAGCTGGGCTGTGTCGGATCAATCTGCAGACTCGTCTACGGCTACAACCATATGATCAGCTTTTCTGAGCTCTTTTACCAGTGTCTCGAACACATCTGTGGCGAGAATGTCAACCCTGTCAGTGTTTGAAGTGTCAGACGGGGTACCTGTTTGATAGCAGATGTCACACTCGTCTTAACTTTATTGTCGGTTAAAACTTCATCCATGACAGCCAACATGCAGACCATCACAATTTTTGAGTCTGCGAACGGCCTCTTTTTCTTTGCCAAGATCCATGACACATGAAGGGAAGCTGCTGTGGCCCTTTCTGAGCTGTGCAAGTCCGCTTCATTGTAGTACAGCTCCGGTTGCAAGACACAGTCAAACTCTGAATTTTAGCCGCCCTCTCATGAGATCCCGCTGGAAAGTTTGTCCGAAACGCAGCTTGTTTTTTAAATGTGGTGTCTTCGGACATGATAGTCTTTCAGCCCTGCAACGCATTCGTTGCAGAGTGAACACATTGGTTTGGTGTTCAGAGTTGGTGGTAAAATAAATAAATACTTGTCAGTCCATGCAGGATTAAACCAACGGTTTTCCGTTTCAGGGTAGAAAAAGACATGCTGCTATTTTTACCTGTATAGAACTGCTGATGTTAACTTTCCAAATGTGCCTCCTCAACAACACAATGCATTGTGGGTTAGTTGCTAGGTCACGATAAGTGTTGCATTCAATGTTTGTAAAATTGTTCGAATTTTAGTTACATCTTTTTCTGCACTTCTCGAACCCAAGTCCCAATCACTCGACTTGCTTTCGGGCCGCATGTGGCCCGCGGGCCGCTAATTGAATAGGGCTGTCCTACAGTTTATTCACAAACAGCAACTGAACTGAAACACTGGAAATTAACCCTCGCCTCCTTAGCTGTGGTTCTGCATGGCATTGAGATAACAGTGACTCATAGAACAGAAACTGATCCACTGCCGGGAAAACAAAACCTAGAGGGTTTTTAATGTTTTCTTCTAACTCTCTATAGTCCTACAGCAGGGCTATTCAATTAAAAACTCACTCGGGCCGGATTTTCAGACTAAGGACATGAGCTGGGTTGGACATTTTTAGCAGATAGTGACTAAGCTTAACCATTTAAACACAAAAAGATAAGATAACAAACACACTGGATGTTGATGAATGTGTTGCCACATGCAAAGGACATAAACACAATAGAAGAGCAGTGCTTAAACTAAACCTGTGCTGAAAAACTGCTTCTTTAAATGTTACATTTCAAACACATAACTTCAACCCATTTTGACGGGTAAATACAAGCACATGGATATGAACATAAAAACAAAGTGCAGATTAGAAACAAAATCTTTTGTTTTGGTCACATCTGAAAGTGCAGAAAAAAGTAACTTGCTTAACAGCAACTTTTCAGAACTTGAGGTATTTTTCTTCTTTTGAAATCAGAAAAAACAGACTTTGTCCCTGTCATATTTGGTCTCATCTGACACAGTCCCATCTTGAGTGCATATAATCAAAAAATAAACAGTGGGCACAGTGACACGGTTATTATCCCTTTGAAATGAAATAAAGCTGACATCAAAGTGCATAATAAAGTGCAA